CTCTTATACACATCTAGATGTGTATAAGAGACAGGGTTATTGAATTGGTTGGGATTAAAGAATTCCCCTTAAAAAAAAAAAAAAAAAAAAAAAAAAACACTATAAAAACCTAACACAAAAACAGTGTTCGAGTTCAAATGTAAGCGTTCAACGAAGTCAACCAATGCCAACTTTTTCATTGTTGATCCAAACATGTCAAATCTGGACACATGACGTACCCTGAAACAAAAATACGTCACAAAAAAGGAAAAGAACAAAAAAAGAAAGAAAAAAATCAGCACAATATGACAGTTTCAGTGCAAAATTCGCCGAAAATAACACCCCTTGGGATGTAGGTTGTTCTTTGGAAGGTAGCTATTACAACTTAGGCTCACTTGAACTGGTGGTTGGACGACCAGTACGTTTACCAGCCATTTTTCTCCGACATGGCCGCTCCAGGACTGCAAGATTTTGTGGTCGGCCTGCGGGATCAAAATGGCTGGCAGCACCAGCTAAAAGGCGGGCCGGTTTGTTTTTTTTTGTCGCGCACAGGGGGTTCCTCGCACCGCAAGTTTTGGTGGTCGGCTCACCGGAGCAAAATGGCTGGCAGCGCCAGCCAAAAGGCGGCCCTGTGTTTTTTTTTTGTGGCGCACAGGGGGTTCCCCACATCGCAAGTTTTGGTGGTCGGCCTGCCGGAGCAAAACGGCTGGGTGCGCCAGCCAAAAGGCTAGCCTGGTTTGGGGTTTTGTGGTGCACAGGGGGTTTCCAGGCTCAGCAAGGGAGGAGCCAAAAATACGTGTGAGCAGCTTGTCCAATTTTCGCCGGCTGTTTGGTCTTCTGGGCGGGAAGAAAAAGTTGGGCGAGTCCATCGTCCTTGGGACCTCGGCCGAGCCCTCTTTTCGAGATTCGGGCGGTTTATGCAACCGTCGCCCGAGCCCTCTTTTCGAGAAATTTTCAACGTGGGCACAACGCGGCCGTACGTTTTCAGATCCGACGGCAGGAACAGCCACGCACTCGAAGCCAAGTCTAAATCCCCCGCTACCGGTAGTGGGACCTGGCCCCCGATGTCCCGCGAAGGACCACTTGCTCAAATTCTTCATTCATTCCTGACCGTTGATCTTCAAAATTGAACTCCAGAGATGAGGAATCCAGCCAATAGGGACGAAGAGGGGTTAGAAGCTAAAAAAGCACTGTCCCCCGAATGACCCGGGCCCAGGTCCCACTTACATACACGAATTATTAAGCGATTTTGACCGGTAGATAGCGAAGATCAACGGCCAGAATCTCTTAATCCTGCAAGTGGGACCTTGCCCCCGGAAGCTGACGGACGTTAGGCGTGCGACGCGAGACGCGAGACGTGAGACGTGAGAATGTTGCCTGGGCTTCGCTGGGGCGGGTGTCTGGGCTGCATACGTGCTCGTCGTTCTTGGACGTTAATCGTCTGTTATTCCCGCTCTCTGGTGCACCAATCGACGGTGTGCTTCGCCCACGAACGTCACTCCCTCTCTCCCTCTCCCTCTCCCTCTCGATCTCATTTGTCCGAACGGAACTCGCTCTCGCCCTCACCATCTCCATCTCGCTCTCCCAAACGGCACTCCCTCCTCCCTCTCCCCCTCTCCACTTCGTTTGGCCAGGAGGCACTCTCTCTCTCTCCCATTCTCTCGTCCATACATCGAAAGCAAGGCCAAGGCATCATGGGCATGGCAGTGGGCAAGATCAGGGAAGAAACACCCAAGTATACGGTCATTCATAAGGCAGAGTCGTTCGAGGTGAGGGAATACGAGCCGGCTATGGCGGCTGCCGTCGAGTATCCGGGGGATATCTACCTCTCAGACAACAAGTCCAACCCTTTCATGGTGCTCGCTGGTTACATCGGCGTCCTCACGAGTCCAAAGAACGTGAAAGCCGAGGCCATAGCCATGACCGCACCTGTCGTGATGGTCCCGCCTTCTGCTTCATCGGCTTCTTCATCGTCTCCTCCTTCTGCCAAGCTCAGCGATGGCGGTTCTGGCACGGGTAAGGCTGAGGGAGAGAAGATAGCAATGACCGCACCTGTGGTTATGCAACCGACACCACAGCTGGTGGTGGGGACCACAGGTGGCGGCGGAGAGGCCGGGGAATCCAGAGACTCCTCGTCTCCCTCCCCTTCATCTCCATCTTCATCTCCATCTGCATCTTCAGCGCAATCTGCGCCGCCAGCGGAATCGTCGTCCATGATGTTCATCTTGCCGTCCAAGTACACGAGCCTGGATATGGTGCCTAAGCCGACCGATCCACGTGTCACGATCGTTGAGCTGCCACGTCGGAAGCTTGCAGTCATTCGGTTCTCTGGTATTGCACGGAAAGAAGTCAGCCAGGAGAAAGAGGAGCAGCTTCTTCAGGCTGTGGCCAAGGCCGGCTTCAAAGTAGCTGGAAAGCCGTCTCTCATGTTATACAACCCGCCGTTTACCCTACCGATGTTCCGCACCAACGAGGTCTCTGTTGCCGTCGAATAATCAGTCATATGAGGCGGAAGGATCTCTCAAAAAGCGAAGAAAAACGAAGGGGAAAAAACAGGAAAAGCACGGTGCTCTGGTTCCTCCTCCTCGTCGTATTCCTCTGATTAATGATTCACTGATGATTCATCGCACCATTGATTGCATTCTTGCTTGCTCGATTGATTGATTCCGTGATTGGTTGATTTCAGTGATTGACTGATTGGTTGATTTCATTGATCGATCGATCGATCGATCGATTGCTTGCTTGCTTGCTTGATTGATTGGTGTCCCTCGTATTAATGATTGACGGATTGATCGAGTCATTGATTGCATGTTTGGTTGATTGGTTGATTGATTGATTGGTTGATTGGTTGATTGATTGTATTGATGAAGTGATCTGCTTTTAGTGGGCGCTGGTTGGAATCGTGGCCGAGCTGAATCTCGGGCACAATGGGAAAGGCCAACTCTGGGGGGGGGGAGAGAGAGAGAGAGAGAGAGAGAGAGAGAGAGAGAGAGAGAGAGAGAGAGAGAGAGAGAGAGAGAGAGAGAGAGAGGGGGGGGGGGAGAGGGGGGGGGGGGGGGGGGGGGGGGGGGGGGGGGGGGGGGGGGGGGGGAGAGAGAG